GCCTCAGCACTGATCATCCCACCACTTATTGACGCTAAAGTGATCGAAACTAGTATGAGTCGTAGGAAGGAAATGAGATAGGAATTAGCCATTGACATTGCGTTGGATTGATGAAGCGGATCAATAACTAAGAAGGTGTTTGAGTTGGATTGGGAATATATGTTTGTGGATTTGGATTTATATAGAAGATTGAGTCTTGGAGAAGAGGGACCCACTGATGATGAGTTGGTGGGAATGAGAAAGAAGTTGGCATTTTTAGTTCAACTTCTCATCTGTACCTTAGACTTGCATGTATACTGTCCTATTTTTAGTATCATATGTCTGATTATAATTAAGTCACTTAATTAATTAGTATGTTATTCTTTGTTGAACTACGTACATGACGCTGTTGATCAACTTTTGTTGTTCAACATTTAAACTCTATCCACATTGCTTGATTATTTTATATATTGTTTGAAGTAATTGTAATTGTAAATGTCTTTGAATCTCTTCTTTAATTTCTTATATTACGTACTCTAAGTATTCTTGTGTTTATTATATCATAATTTGAATTCTTTTTAAACACAATTTCACTCATTGTGGTAAATAATGTGTTCTTAATTTTAGCATATATAAAACAAAGTTTATTAATATAAACTATAGATCTATATGATCAAAAGAGAACAATTAACATTGTAAGCCACATAATTTTTACTACGATATTTTGCATTTGGTAAAAACTTTTAAAAGAGTAGTTGACATATAAATGGGATGTTGTTGGTGAACAACCTGAACTAGTTGACATAATTTTTCCGATTTTTAGACCTCTTGGCCTTCCCCAGAGGTCTGAAAGAATAGGTTCTTTTTTATTTCTGAAGATGATGAAAGTTGTGGGAGTAACTCTTTTAGGGGACTTGGCCTGTCCGGTTATCATACCACAATTAGACTAGATGCCGCTAATTATCATACCACAATTAGACTAGATGCCGCTAAACAGACTCGTAATTCCTTTGTCTGTAAATTATACGACTATCATTGTAAAAGACTAGAAATCACTAGAAAACGATGCACACACACATACCAACGTGGTTCACTTGATCTTTGTGATCAAGCTAATCCACAACGACACTAGTAAGGTGTATTATTGAGCATAAAAAGTTTGGTTTACGGTTACTTTGGGTCTGTATTTGTTAGAGTTTCAACTAAGTCAGATTTCCATGTGCGTTGGGCTGAAGTTCTGAAATTGCCTTCTGGGGCGCTACCATGAACATAGAATTGAAAGCCCCTTTCAAATAAATATTTTCTTTGCTCGATGCGAGAAAATCGATCTACTAGTTCTCATATTTGATTTCCTTCAATAGGTTGAATGTCATCTAGAGACGGGCTCTAGAAAATTTTCCGAGTGGTGGTGCCATTTGACTATAAGAAACAAATATATAGATTTTTACAAAATATGATTGTTAGTTTGTTGTTTTTCATATGTGACATCATGTGTTCAAAACTTTTATTCCAAGTTATTTTTGAAACATAATAAATCTGAAATTAAAAGCTAAAAACTAAGAGAACGACATTAAGAGGACCAAACTCGGGTCTCATGTGGAAGAAAAACCTTACAAACCAACTCTACCAAGAGAAACATGCAAACCAAATTTATGCGGTGGCAAATTTCATGACCCAATAATTTTTTACACTACGACGGAAGAACGAAGTAGTAGCTCGTGCCGCCATATCCAATAGATTAGGTCCACCCCTGGGTTATTAGATATGCTTTCAATCAATCAGCGCGCTGAGGTGGTCGAAAGTGGTTCGCAGATATATTTTGTCTTACTTGCTAATGGGAGGAAGACTGATCAATTCTTTAGACATTGCTATCTGTAACATCACAAGCTCTCGTTCTCTGTCTGCAAGGTGATGAGGTATTTGCTGTTG